ATAGCTGGTTTCAAGATAAAAATTTCCTCAATTTTTAACGGTCTCGTTTTGGTTTTGGTATAAAGTTGTTCTGGTGAGTCCCAGGATTGCTGCCAGTTTATTGTTTATTGCTGTTGATTTACTGTCTATCTTTTTATTTTCGTACAGATTTGTTTTTATCGAATTGTTTGTATTTGCATTAACATTTTTAGAGACTAGTTGATCTTTGGCTTTCTCTTGTGAGGGGGTGGGAGTGAGGTTGGAGGTGTGGGAGGAAGGATAGAGGGAGCGAGTGAGAGTGAGAGTGAGTGAGTGAGTGAGAGAGAGAGAGAGAGAGAGAGAGAGAGAGAGAGAGAGAGAGCGAGAGAGCGAGAGAGAAAGAAGGTATGTGGGTACGTATGTACGTGTGTGTGTACAAACTGACTGTACATAAATGAAATAGTGTCCATGCATTTTTAAACATAATGCATAAAACAAAAAACGCAGTGTTAGTATTTTCAAATAAGTTTAACACCCGACCGCAACTCACGATATCTGAATAACTATCGATTAACGGTCACTAATCTCTACACAAAATTTTCAAAAAATAAAAAACCATCTTGTTTCTTTCTTTTCTTTGTCACTCAGACACATCTTTCAGAAAAAATTCAAGTGTTATGCAGTTACTGGTATTGAATTCTCATATCACGAAAACCTTTTATCAATCATAAATTATTCCTTGATTGAAAAAACTTTCTACTTAAATAAAAAATGAGTAGAAATTAATACACAAATAAATCAATATTACAGATTGATTGATTTATGCATTAATTTTTCCTTTAGACAAATAGCAATTGGTAGAAATGATGAAGGTGGGGTGAGTATGTAGATTCACATTTTGTAAATGATGGGTCTACTCTCAGATTTATTGTTTACAACGTTCAGGATTTCCAGGATTAAACGATCATCATCAGGTTGAAGGAGTTACAAACACGTCTCTCGACATGAATTGTATGGGTGAACCCGCCGATCAACCGCCAACGCGACGTTCCAATTTGAAATTTCTCAAACCAATTTAGTCCCCTCCCTTTGTTGAAACTGTATTACAATGTTGTATTTAAATTTAAATTTATTTCATTTGGATGGTTCTTAAATTTACAAAATTTGTTCGATTTGGGCAATTGTTCTTTAACTTTTGTTTTAATTTCTCTGCCATTTTCTCATATATTTATCTTTAATTCAGCAGTACAATTAAGTTTGTAAACTACGCTTGTTGACAAGTTGTCAACCTTGTATCTAGATTTTGAGAGGATGTTTCTAAGTGAACTGAAGTTGTGAAGTGAAGGAAGTTCTAAAACTTGCTATAAACCTCGTTTAAGAATATTACTTACCATTTCTGATAGCTCTTCAAAGTATGGCAAGCAACGAAAACCTGATGATTCATTTGTTGAGAGATGGCTGAGTACGATTGTTGCTTCTTTTAATGTTATTTTTTTATTAACAACCTTTCGATAACTATTTCTTTATATCCCTTGCTTTTAGCTTTTAATTGATTGCAATTTCTTTTATAATTAAAATTTCGAGTTTTTAAAACCAGATGTTGTTAGCAACTAATCTTTGAGTAGCATTTACAAAAAGTGAATAGCAATTGCTGTTAAAATTTTCTAAAAATACATATATCTAATATATATTTATACAACATGACGTCTTTCAAAAGTCTTTGCATTTCAATGTATTGTTTGTTTATTATTAAAAAATTACACTTTATTAAAACATAAATAAAACACAAATAAAAGAAATTAACATAAAACTGAGAAAACATTATAATTTTAAACGTAAAAACAATAAATTCATGACATGTATAAAAATATTATTAGCAAATAATAGCTGAATATGTAAGATAAATAGGTTAGTATTGTACTTTATTTTAATTTTCAATTTCTTTTTTGTCGAGATTCAGCTTTCTTTTTGCTAGGAGTCGTATTGAGGTATCTTACAAACAAAACATACTTTGTTATATTGTGAAAACATACATTGTACAAGCCTGAGAGGCGGAAACATTTCCAAATAAACGTCTTCTCATTTTATGCTCTACATAATGTACAATACAATAAAACAACGACTGTTTTCCTGTGCAATGAGGCATAATTATTTTCCCGTATGTATAATTATTTTATACAAGTTGTATTTATTTGTGTAAATAATTTGCTTTAACGTAGAATTGCCTACATACTTTATTTAAAACGATTAAAACATTTCTCTCTAATGAAACGCATGGAAAGCTTTTTAACCATTTTAGAAAAATAAATAAATTTTTCGATTGCTTGAATTTTTTCTCGAAAGTAATTATTAATTTATAGGATATTTATCAACAAGATTTTTCATCCGTTTATTAAAGCAAAATTGAAATTAATGACATTGGTAATTCAAATTTGACAAGAATAATTAGCTCATTGTGGTTTTAATAAACGCTTAATTTTAACGTAGAAAGGGAAATTTCTTAACTCAAATCTTGTTTCTGTGATGAAGGAAGTAAAGGATTAACTGAGCAAGCGGTTGTGAATGGCGCGTTGTCAATTTCCACAAGTTTCAAAACTTGTAACATATTCTGGCTTCAGTGCTTCCTCCTTTTCCAATTTCCATTCACTTTATTGATGACTATGTGATGTAATCATCCTAGTCTATTTTTTACCAGTATAAATCTTGTGATTCTGTACAACTGACAATTTTATTTAGTTTAACAGGGTGGAAAGCTGGGTATGTCTAACCATGTTTTTCTCAGAAACTGTCACTGAATAAAAGAAATTTATAATGTTCTATTTATATGAAATACTTAAAATTGAAAATATTTATTCAACTTTTCCCGCATAATGTTGAAATTTTAATTAGGATATTTATTGCTTTCGTATACATTTATAAAAAATCCAATACTAGGTACATTTTGGGTGAATATATATACTGATTGGATGTTCATATAATAATGTAGTTTGAAAGGTTTACGGGCTTTGTTTTCAAAAAATTGTCTCAAACTTCCAATACAGCCGCCTTGAGCTTGGATTGGATTAAGGTCCGGACTTCTTACAGGGTATGTATGCCTGTGCTGTCCAGGTGTTCAGAAGCACATATTGTCTTATCATGTTATCACACATAAACAATGATTCAGGGCATATGAAAGGCATAAAAGGCACTCCATGATCTTGGTGGATGTTATCCAAACATGTAAGGAATTCAGTTTTGCTGGATTGGTACCAACTTGGTGACAAGCCTAACATGATAGACCCCTCCTTCAAATGTCACATTTTATTGTTCAGCACTGATTATCTTTTTTCTGGTATTCTTCAAACTCTTTCACGGCTATCTGGATATTGGGGTAAACCGAACTTTTCTTCATCCGTCGATGGTTCATGATTGATGAGTGCAAGGAGGCCTTTCACGACCCTTTTTGATATGAGATTTGACTTTCTCATTCTTCTTCTAACAGTTGACTCTGATTAATATTCCGAATACCAGCGATCAAGTTTTTAAAGACAGAAACTGTTGAATTCCTCTTCCGAATCGGTTCAACGTTTATAAATCTGTCGTCTGTGGGATTGGTGATTTATTTACAATAATGCTATTTCAATTGTAGGATAAATATTTCGCTTCTTGAAGGAGAATTTTGATTGATTCATCGCAGCGCAAACGATTTATTATTATATAAACAAATTTAACAAAGGGAAGAAAATATAGAAATTACTACCCCGGGCTAACCGAAAGTAAACACTGACTGAAGGGAACATTGAAATGAACCGAGAAAAAGCTTTGGTCCGACGTTTATTGGTAAAAAGTGATTAATAATGATATGATTAATCTCCATTGTTTCTCTTGGAACCAATTATATTACTAGAAATATAAACCAAACTCGGATTAAGGTCAAAAACTATAAAAATATCAAGATTTATAGGCGTCGTAATTCTTTTGATTGTTTATTGTTATACTAAAATGTGTACATAATCAAAATACAACGAGGTTTATCCAGGGATATATAGAATATTAGAATTTTAAAGCAACACTTTAAAAAAGGACAGAAGAGATAGAAAAGATAAATGGTGGAGAGTGTGTATTGTTCAATCTTTTTAAAAAGAATTTGTACGTTTGATAAACGGCCCAACCTTGGGAATGAATCTGTCTGTGTAAAAACTTCGTTCTTTCACCTAAGGAATGAAACTGTACAATCATGGGGAGGAATCTGTCGAACCGGAATGAAAACAAGGCGTTGGTTATATTTTTAAACAAAGCAATCAAGCCTCGAGGTATGGTATAATTTTGACGCCGGCCGTTGATGATAAATATGGATACAAAGAAATCCGGATAGTTGAAAACAACTTACTGTGAGTAGGAACTAGCTTTCTAAAACTATTAAAAAAGACGTTCTTCGAAGATTTGAAATATGTTTATTTAAAAACTTAATTTTCGCTAATTTGTTGAAGTCGTGAGGAGCAAGAATGAGGTAGTTTAGAAAAACACTTTTCTTATATTTTTGCCGACGTTTCGACCTTTACTCGGGTCATCTTCAGGGCCTGGGTAAATTAAAAAACATATGTTCATTGGAAAAATACAATTTAAGAAATAAATTGTATTTTTTCCAATCAACACATGATTTGCAATTTACGCAGGCCCTGAGGATGCCCCGAATAATGGCCGAAACGTCGGCAAAAAAATAAAAGAAGTGTTTTTCTAAACTAACTCATTCTCGACTGCCCCTCACGACTTCAACACATTATGAAACAACGGGTTATTAAGAAACACACATTAGTTTTTGCTATTTCTAGTTTTTTGAGAAAAAATGATTAAGATACCTTAGTCTGCTCAGTGTTTTTAATCAAGGCATATTTCGTATGATAGAAACATTTATTATTTATTTATACAAATAAGTCTTATTTCTCAAGCACTAGTAGTTTTTGATAAAAATCAATAAGCGCAAAAAGAAACATTTATTATATAATGCTACTTGCAATAATCTACACTTAATGTATAAACATAAATGTAAAATAATACATTACCATTCAAAACGTGAACTAATACGCTTGCGGCATGGGAGCTTGACGGGGCACATGTATAATTGCCAGAATCAGCTGGAAGAGCTCTTGCGATCAGCAGCCTTGAGGTCCGCGTCTGCTTCTCTGTCAGCACGGAAATGCCTCCCCTTTGTGAATAATTGATTACGTTGTTACCTCGATACCAGTAAATGAATGACGGAGGCTCCGGTGTTTCTCGGACCACACAGGTCAGGTTGATATCGCTCCCGCTTTTGATGTATATCTCGCTTTTGCCCAATATCTCAGCTTGAGACACTGAAACAAAATAAGATTGAACGGTTAGATTAAAAAAAAAAAAAATCATTTGTGTGTACAATTATGCAATTCAGTAAGTCAGTTCGTTAGAAATGATGTTTCCACGCGTAAGAGACCAATATCAAATCGGGTTTATTATTACATCGATCCGTTGGATGATTAGTTTATACTGTAACCTCAGCTCAAATATTGATAGTTGTTTGCCCATGTCTTAGTTAAACAATTAGAGATTTCTAAAGTGAATAAGTCCAATAGAAAATATTTAAAATGTATACGTGAAACCCAAAAATTGAATTAAGAACAATGGAATACAGTAGTGACAATTATGTTTAATGATTATTCGGAGATAGTGAGATGCGGTCTGGTGTGACGTAGGGTTTAGAAAAACATTTTCTTTATCGTGCCAACGTTTCGATCTTTATTGAGATCATCTTCAGGGCCTGGGATTTACTCAATAAAGATTGAAACGTTGGCATGATAAATCTCATGATCTCCGAATAATCATGGACTAACGGTCACTAAACACCAGACATTAAATTTAATTAACATTTTCAATAGAGTTTATTCAAGATATTTTTGTTAAAATAGTCTGATATTAATATTGTCTAATCAATTATGTAACGATCATTTACCGTTTGCTAACTCAATTATGTAACTTTTATAATTCACTATCATCTTCCATAGAAATCGATAAACTGTTTATTTTATAAAATAATATGCAACATTACACAAAGGAGAATCCTTTGCTTTTGAAATGATTGAATTTATTTTAACATTTATATATGGAATAAAATAATAAATTTTAGACTGTTTACGACTGTCATGTTTTCATTTTCAACGATGAATTCCATTATATTCTTTTAAATTAGATTTCTTTTTTAGATAATATAATATTATTAAAGATTATTTCACGTACGTATTTTTAAAAAATTAGACATGTTTCATTACCGTTGAATTTTAATTGTAGTATAACTTATTTCATCTCGATTCACAGTTTCATAAATGATCCTGTGATTTTGTTTTGCTGTTTAGCAATTTCAAAATTCATCCATATTGCCATCTTCAATTCTCACTTGAGTAGTTGATTAAACAATAAAACCGATTTTCAATTTACAAACACAAGAAATAATTGATTTTTTATTTTATTATTCTACCATGCTGACAACTTCAATCTTCTTTCTTGTACATAAAAAGTATGTTAATTCTGATTTGCCAATTTAACAAAAATACGTTATTAAGAGAAATAACATCATAAACAAATACAGTTTAAATTATTATTGGTTGAATTATACTTTTTCAAGGTCTTGGATATGAAAAAGCTAGCGTCACGAGCGGGATTCGAACCCACGACCTTCTGATCAATACGCCGCTACCTCTTGTGCTATCGTGATACGCTCGGACAGTAACTCATCTCACCCTACAACCTTTCGAAGATGGAGAGTTGATGTACGAGTGGATCGAAGTCACGATAGGTCAAGTGGTTAGAGCAGCCGCGGTAGTGGGTTTGAATCCCGTTCGTGACACTAACTATTTCATATCAACCAAGACCTTAGATAAAAAATATAATTAATTAAAATAATTAATACGGTCAGTTATAACGATTAAATAAATATATGAACTGTAATTAAATTTTAATTATTGCTTGTCATAAATGGCAAGTTGTTAATTTTATAGAATAATATTGAAAATTGGCGTAATATAAAGATTTGACCGTTTGATATTTTCATCACTATTATATAAAACAATAAAATAAATTTTCATTCCCCAGACGTCATAAATCATTCGTTTTTTAATATCATTCATATGTCATTTCATTATGGATTTTTAGCCGTTATGATAATATACGAAGTCAGCAAGCCTGCGAAATTTAATTCCTCTTGGAATTTTTTTAAAAATTTTAATTTATTCTATTTTAATTTAATTTAATTAATAACAAGGGTATTTAAACTAAGAGGTTATATGAACCTTCGTGATGCCGGTATTTTGAAAAAAGCCCAGTTGTAAGTGTATGTTGGGTACAGGACCTTTTACCTTACAGTGTTAGCTCTGTTCCGGCCACCAACTAACCTAACTTAATTCTTTAAGATTCGCTTCCGTCCGTGCCTACTTGATCTGTTCAAATTTATGCACTTTTTACGATTATTTTCGTAATTTTTAATTTATAATACACAATATATGTAAGTACATATTTTTACATTAAAGACAACCTCTTTGGATATATTAACTGTCAAGATGAATCTACCAATTATTTACAATTAAAAGTAAAGTATACATATTGTTGTGTTTTAATTTTTAAACATGAATTTTATTAACATTCATTCACTAATAAATTAAAACTTATGAAAATATTAACTGCGCGCCTGCATTCACTAACATATTATAAAACGAAAAACCAAACTTGAACTAGAAAAGAAAAGGTAAACATAGAATTAAAAATTATGAAATTAGCTCTTAGCTCTACGTTTATGCGCCCCTTTTTAATACTGACAGTAACAGATCTTAGTAAGAAGTCCCTCCTCCAACAGTGTAAACTGTTACCAGATTAGCAGTGACCAGTGTTTCAGGTATAGCGATATTCTACTATGCCTCCAACTACTAGCTTGTTTGTCTCTTATTTTTCCATCCAAAAACGATTCAATGTGCGATATTGGAACTGTTAATTATTCACTCATCTCCGTTTTTAGATATTAATCGTTACGCAAAAATAAACATTTCCACCTTTATTCAGGTCATCTTCAGGGCATAAATTGTGGTGCTATTCATGTTGTACAGTGAACACACCACACTTTCACACAAAACCAATATGACACCAGAAGAATAGCTCCCCACTTTATGCCCTGAAGATGACCCGAATAAAGGTCGAAACGTCGGTAAAAAAATGAAAAAAGTTGTTTTTCTAAACTACCTGATTCTTGACCGCTCCACAACTTCAACAAATTATTAAACAACTGGTTACAAAGACACACACATTAAGGTCATTGCGGATTGATATTGGAAACATATAAGGAGTTTAGAGAATTCTTCTTAGACCTTTTGATTGGAAAGCTTGTATTCGTTGGATGTTGGAAATGGTGCTAGAAGATGGAATTACACCGTCAACCGAATGGTGTTCGATAAATAAGTAGGTCAGTTGTATAAATGGTTACATGGTAGAACCAAGACGGCTTCCTCGTTGGACGCCGGCTTGTATTGGTATTCGTTTCCGCGTCTCACTCTGAAGCAGCGGTCAGATCAATAGGATTCTAGGATGACGTAATAAGGTTTGGGTAAAGAAACATTGATGTTTACAAAAGGATAACTTTGTGCCAGACCCTATAAAATACAAATATATATGTATGGTGTTAGTGACCGTAGCTAATGGTTATTTGGAGATCGTGAGATGCGGTCTGGTGTGACGTAGATTTTAGAAAAAACATTTTCTTTGTCATGCCAACGATCGAAATACACACATCCTACATGTATTTGTAAAATTTAAAAAATGTTTATAAATCTCAGGTCCTGAAGATGATCTCAATAAAGATGGAAACGTTGGCATGATAAAGAAAATGTTTTTCTAAAATCTACGTCACACCAGACCACACCTAACAATCAACAAATATATATACTGAATTTTAAAAGCATTTTAAGCTTTTCTAAAGTTTTGTTTTTGAGTATATGAATTTTGAATAAATACATTGATTAGTTTTTCTAATATTATTATATATTATATTAATATATAATTGTACACGTAATAATAAATAAATTAATCACATTCTAAAATTATTATAATAGACAATAATATTTTAAAAAAAACCTAATGAACGTATTTATTCAAAATTCATATACTCAAAAACAAAACTTTAGAAAATCTTAAAATGTTTTTACATTCCAGTATATATATTTGTCGATCGTGAGGTGCAATCTGGTGTGAAGTAGGTTTATAAAAACATTTTCTTTATCATGCCAACCTTTCGATCTTTACTGAGATTATCTTCAGGGCTCAAAGTGTCTTTTCCATGTAGATGTGTCATTCTTGTGTGTCGTAAACACGTAAAAACAAACACTTTGAGCCCTGAAGATGATCTCAATAAAGATCGAAACGTTGGTATGATAAAGAAAATGTTTTTATAAAACCTACTTCACACCAGATTGCACCTCACGATCTACAAATATATATACTGGAATGTAAAAACATTTTAAGATTTTCTAAAGTTTTGTTTTTGCGTATATGAATTTTGAATAAATACGTTGATTAGGTTTTTTTAAAAATATTGTTGTATATTATAATAATACATAATTGTACACGTAATAATAAAGAAATTAATCAAATTTTAAAATTCAACGTTCAACATCTCTTAGTAAGGAAAACAAAAATTTTAAAGTTAATTAAATAAAAAAAGTTTCTTTTATCGTGGAATATAATAGGTTTATGAAATGAAATGTAGAATTTTTTCATGAGAGCTATAGTGTCAATGTACTGCTATCTTTAATAATCTAATATTGCAAAAAGTAAACTCCTGCAAACTCTCATGAGGCATCGTGTTTGTGATTCATTTATACAAACATAATTGTTTTAATTTATTAATTTGACGACAACTTTGTTAAAATTAGTTTGATAAACGCGGTCGTAAAATAATGCAAAAACAATATTTTTGTAACACAGAAGGCTCGTATCAACGGATCCCCTTTTCAAATGAAAATAATAACCGCGATGGTTTTATTACGAAAGTTGAGGGAGCAATGTCATATAATGTTAATTGGGAGATGTCGAACCGCACTACGGCAGGAATATCGGAAACACGTGACATATCCCTGAATATTTTATTACGGCGTTAACACAATCAACCGAGCTCGGTGGTTTCAGGTTATTTGAGATACTGAATTAACATTTTCCACGAAAATTAATTACAGGCCATAGAGCCTATAATTATTTCTGTTGTAAAACAACTAAGTGAAGCGTGCGAAGTGTACCAACTTCGTAACCAGAACAAGTGATAAAAAATTTAACTACGTGTAAAATT